AAAATTTAAGGGGTAGTTATATAATAATTTTGGACGATCTCGGGCGGTCGGATACTTATGACCGCTACTGTATATCAATTTTGGAATTAAAATCTTTATAAATAATAAATAATTTAATTAAAAATAATTATTAAGAAATGAAGTTAAATTTTGAAAAAAAAATTCAAAAAGAGAAAAAATTAAAAAAAAAAATTTAATTAAGAAAAAAATCAAAAAAGAAAAAAAAAATTAAAAAGTAAAAAAATTTAATTAAAAAAATTATTGAAATTATAAGAAAAAAAAAAAATTAAAAAAAAAAATTTTTTAATAAAAAAAGCTTATTTTTTATAGATAATAAAAATCAGTATAAAGGCAAATTTAAATAAAAAATTAAGAAAAAAGAAATCAGAAAAAAAAATTTAGTTAAAAAAAATATACTTATATTTATTGATAAAGAATTAAAAAAAAAAGAAAATAATTTAATTAAAAAAAGAATTTAAGTTTCTAAAAAAAAGAAATAAGAAAGAAGGAAAATTAAAGAAAAAAAAAACTTTAAAAACTTGTCTTTTATAAATAAAATTAAAATTTTAATTGAATAATGATTTACTAATTAAAAAGATATATATAATATAAGAAAAAATTTTATGTATGATAATTTGTATTATAATTATAATTATAATTATAATTAAAATATATAAAGTAGTATTTTTTTTTTTCAAATGAAATATTTGCTTATAAAATTAGAAAAAATTTTATTAGAATAGAAAATGTTTTTGAATTTCATAAAAGTTGTTAAAAAATAATTTATTTTTAACATCAATGTTTCTCAAATCTTTGTTTTTGATAACACATTTTACAAAATAAGTGTTTTTATTTTCCCATTCTCATTAAAAATAAGAAATAAAACATAAAAAAAACCTCACACATCCCAAAATAAACAAAACACTCTACCATTCGATCTCAATTGACTCGTGCTTTATTCGTTTTCTTCGTTTTGCTGGTATTTTTAGTATTTTTGGCTTTCTCAATGCTTTCAGGAGAGTGTATCATTCGTGTTGTCATCTTAATAGATTCAACCTTATAATCATTGACCCATAAAAAATCTCGTACAGATCTTGAGCTTTCAGATAAAAGGCGCTAATTTAAAAGAAATTAAAAATGTTAATTTTTATGTACGGGTTTTTGTTTTTTTTTTTTTTTCCTGAAATCCATCTATACGAACCTCATAATGCAACAAGCTAATTACAGCATTATCAGCCTTCGCCATATCTGCCCATGTTTTAGGTAGGGGAAATGTTAATATCGCCTCTGCAGTGTAAATCTCCGTATATTTTAATTGGAATTCGTAAATGGTCAACTCATTTACTATAAAAACAAAAGTGTTAGTAGTGCATAATAAATGAATTACAAAAATAATATTAAAAAAACTTACAATAGACTTGTAACCCATATAATTTGATTAATGTTATGTCTGAGCTTGGATTGAGTTCGGCATATTGATTTATTAGAGTTTTCAACATCTTCATTATCTTCATACGATCACTCTTGAAGTGCGCCCAATCATTTTTCATTGGGGGTCCGCTGACTTCGGTTACTGAGATCTCTTTATTTTCTTCTCTCATACTAATAATTGTATCAATCCTTTTTCCTGGAGATCGGCGTTCATCATCTTTCTTATTGGAATTAACGTCTTTCGCACATGCCTTGAGGCAAGTTTCTCCATATGAGACAAGCCAATCTTTTTTCTTTTTGTTAAAGAAGTAGCCAAGAATGGGTGTTAGAACGTTTACGATATAGGTTCCCTCGGACATGGAATCGTTAAACAAATTCACGTCATCCATTAATTCCATCCTATATAAGATTAAGTTATTACACATCTCGATGAATCAAATAATCAAATAAATATACTTACATATGGCTCACAAAATGTAACGCGAACCTTTTTTCAAATGAATCAATTTTTTCAGCGTTTCGACAATTAAGATTTTCTTTAGTCTTCTTAATGTCACGGTCAATAATACTATTCAGAAACAACTTAATCTCTCGGTTCAAATTATCGTTTGTCTACTTCTGGCCTCCTTATTTCTTCACGCATCTGCGCAACAATACTTGTGTCTAACGTTCCTAGGAAACCGTCTTCGTCATTTAAATTGAAGAAAATAATGTCGTAGTATTCTGGATGGGTTTTAAATAGATTTACATCAAGCTGATATTTGGTCAACTTTTCCCGGATATTAATTCCACTAATGATCCAATCAATACTCTTTCCACCGACAATAGTTAAATCTGCATTAAATTCATCATCCTCTTCGTCTATATCATGTTCACGCTTATTTCCAACTAGAAAGGGATTTGGTTCAGGTCGTTTATGAATGTGAACTGGAAAAGTATCATAAAGAGAACACTCTTTTTCTTCAACTTCTGGCGTAATATGTCGTTCTGGAGATCGTGGCTGTTGAAACTGTTCGCAATCACCCTAAAGTATTAAATCACAAAATAATCAGTTTTGCCAAATCTTGCAACTCTAACGAAAAAAAAAAAATGCGAGTATATACCAAGTTTTTATGATCTGTTCGGGAACGTTTGGGGATCTCGTAATCACTCGTTGCGTAATAAGCTTCTGCTGTCGCACTTGTAGCATTCCTTGCTATATTTTCGATTTTACGCTAATAATTATAATGTATAATAAGAAAGGAAAGATATACAGCAAATCCAATCAGAACCAAGTAATACCTTATTAATATTTTCATTGATCTTATTTTCGACAGTAGCTTTCAATAATCCTTCTTGATGCTCCTTCCAAATCGACGAGACCACTATATATTTTGTCTTTTTTAGCTAAAGGCCCAGAAAAGAAGCAACTGTAAGTTGATGATGTCAAATATAGTAGATGAAAAGTATCAAACTGATTGCGTAGTCACACATGGCATAGTGAGACCTTTAAGTCCAGACCATAACATGCTACCCACTTCAGGCAAGCAGAGGAATGCCCGTCAATCAGCAGAAACCGCAGGGTACGACTTTGCAAAGAAATAGACAGCGTAACCACACATGGCATAGTGGGACCTATAGATCCAGACCATAACATGCTACCCACTTCAGGCAAGCAGAGGAATGCCCGTCAATCAGCAGAAACCGCAGGGTACGATTATGCAATCTCAATATAACAGATATAATACAGACCTTTAATTGTTTCCTGATAGATTTCGCTTTAAACCATTCAGGACTATCCTTAGTAAAGTGCTTAAGAAGTATTTCAAGTTCACTCGCCAGTGTTTTATGTGCATCCTCGCATGACGAACCGGGCATTTCATTGATAAAATGAAGATCCCAATCTGCTACACTTCCCCATAGTGTAGGACATCTCTCCCAGTACTCTAATAGGAGAAAATATATATTAACGTTTACTTGTGTGAAAGGAAAGGATATACGAACTTACTTGAGTACTTAATTTTTTTTTTGATCTCAGGTGTAAGTAAAGACTGAGGATTGGTCATTGACATTGTGTATGGTACGATTTTTTTTTTCTGGTAATTTTGATCTGGAATTCTTACAAATTCCATCACGATAAAGTCGAAATCAACCAATCAAAAATCACGCGTGCGGACTAGAGTGTCCAGGATTATGCTGCGTAAATACCAAATTAATTTTTTTTTTTTTTTTTAACGATGTGGTACTGTTGTAAGTTTATTAGATTATGTATAAAATATTACAAATTTAAATT